GGGGGGGGGGGGGGGGACTGGCTGAGAAGGGAGGTGTAAAAAAAGGGCAGGTAGGGCAAATGAGGCCCATGGGCTGCTTATTACCCATCCTTGGACTAAAACAGATGTTAGCCTCTTTGATACAAATGACAAGAGAGATGCAGAGAGTTCATTATTGCTTGTGGTATAAGAAGAACACAACAGCTAGCTTCTACAACAAAGGAGCTAGATAATGTCTCTGTTTAGCTTTGGAAGGATGTAGGAATGTGTATCTGACCACTGGCAAAAGTAATGGTGAACCACACAGCACACTGGGCAGGGTAACATGTAAAGTTAACAACAGGTAATTGCTGTATATGTGAACAGGAAGGAACCCAAGCAAAGCCAGGAGGAAGAATAAGCATTCCTTCTTGCCCTCGTCTTATTCTGGGAGAACCAAGAACTCTGGTTTAAAATAGACTGGAAGAGGGCCTACGATAGTCCAGTAAATCTGAAGGGAAACATGCTGGGGAAGGGAAAATTACTTAAATGCTAAACAGGCCACTATGAACTCTTGATTGTTTACCTGGCTCATATAATACAAAGTCTAGTTTGTTGAGCCAAAATTTCTAGTTTGCATATAATAAGCTAGTAATTAGTTGAAGAGAATTTTTACTTTGATTTATTCTTCTTTTCAACTATGCAGAGGGAGGGGAGTAAGGAGTACCTGAGTCCAGTGCTTTGTACATGCTCCTTTCTACCTGTGCAGGTAACACTGAATGGTTTAGCATGGACTCAGCAAATCCCCATTGATTGAATGGGGCTACTCTACAGCAATTTACTACAATAAACAAGAGAATTTGGGCCAATATATTCATGGCCGGGATCTAATGGTTGTTGTCGGTTTTTTGGGCTCTTTGGCCCGAAAAACAACCTTCAGAATACGGCCAAAGAGCCCGAAAAACCCACAACAACCAATATATTATCATCTTAGAACTGCATAGCCGCTGTCAGCGAGGCATTGGGGGGGGGGATAGAATTCTCAGCCTCTTGCTCTGCAGCCAATGTCTAAACCACTAACCTATCAAGCAGGTTGAATGACATGCAATTTGTGAAACATATACCGTATTTTTCACTCTATAAGACGCAATTTTTCTCCCCAAAAAAGTGGGGTAGAGAGTCTGTGCGTCTTATGGAGTCAATGTGGTGATTTTGCCCCCCCCAGCACCGTGGGGGGGAGCCTCCCAAGGGTCCGAGTGAGCCTTCCAGGACCCTTCCGACTCTCCCCCCACCCCCCACGGGGCTGGCGTGGGCGAAATCGGGAGCTTCCAGGACATTGGGAAGCTTGGGAAGCTTCAGAAGAGCCCCAGAAGGTGGCGATTTCACCCCCTCTGGCCCCCGGGGGGGCAGGAGGAGTCTCCAAGGGGTCCTGGAACACACCCTAGGACCCTAGAACCCTAGGGTGTGTTCCATAAGATGGACCTCTCCATAAGGCTCACCAAATTTTAGGAGAAGAAAGCAGATTATTTTTTTCCTGTTTTCTTCTCCTAAAGTGAAATCATCATCTAGCGAAAAGCATTTCCCCATTGGAATGCATTGAAACCTGTTTAATGCATTCCAATGGATCCAGCCTCTGGCTCTGCAACCAATGTCTAAACCACTAAGCTATCAAGCAGGTTGAATGACATCTAATTTGTGAATACATATAATTAACCTAGCTTATGGAGCGAAAAATACGGTAATTAACTTAAGAATCAACCACACATACCCTTTTTTGTTTGTGTAGGACCCTACTCCCAGGGCATTGCTGCAGTTGCCACCATAAAAACCCCAGAGATTCCACTCAGAAGCAGAGAGCAGAAATGGTTCTTCTAACATAGCCTGCTCCTGTCAGGCCAACCCCATGGGTCAGAGCATGATTTTGCTGGGAAGAAGGTTGCTCTCTGGCCACCTTATTTCCTAGCAGAAGCCCTGGAGTTTTTGCAACAACTTCAGCAGCAGAAGGGCATGGCCTAGAAAGCTTCCAACTCCAATAAGGTGCCTCCTCCATGCATTTAGTGAGGCATCCAATCCTGATAAAACTTGTTCCAAAATGTTACTTCTTAGACTCTGGTCCTAATATCCATATGATAGGACTGAGGGCTTGAATCTAGAAAGGAAAGACAACCATGTCTCACTGATACCTTTGCATTCTTATCCTCTGGAGCTTCAGCAACACTAAGATTAGAACCACAGACAAAGTAATCTATTTCAAGGATCCACAGAAAAGCAAAACAATTTTGCAGAAGAAAAATCAGATTTGGCATCCTTGAATTTAATTAAATATTGTCCCAAATCCTTTTCCTAGTTATGTAGATGTTGCACAACAGTATAACCTCTGGAAGCAAACTACTCTGAGTTAAGAAATCACATAGACATTATCAGTTGAGTTGCATACTGATTTCTTAATTTGGGGCAATTTGCTTCCAAAAGTTATGTCATTGATGTAGCTAACTGAGAAGATTCTGACTACTCAGCCACTTGATATTCTCAGACTGGATTAAATTCTTTCACATCATGCACATGATTATTTGGATTCTGGAACAGCAAATTACCTTTCAGACTAGAAATTTCACACCATGGCTGAAATTCAGTAAAACAAAGTTACTCTATGTATGCCTTTCAGACTAGAAATTTCACACCATGGCTGAAATTCAGTAAAACAAAGTTACTCTATGTATGCCCGATGTCAATAACCATGGTCATATTTTGGTAATTCAAAGGTTCCTATATCCCCCTCAAAAAGGTTCCTGGGGAAGCCTCGGGGGGTAACAGAATGGGGGTGGGAAATCTAAAATGTTTGCAAATCAGACTTATGTGGCATAACATTGTTACTAGATTTCAGCCTGCATGGGGTATGCACACCATATTCACTATATTGTTCACTATCTACCTATGCTGCTACTGATAATTTGTACCATCTTGATGACTGAATCACTTTAAAAAACAACAACTGCTGTTCAAAACTGAGTTGGTTTCTTTTCCTCTATACTTGGCTGATTTTTCATTCACCCTAGCAACACACTCCAAAAGATCAAAAATTAAATATGTACAGAAACAGTATTACCTCTTTGAAAACATATTATATAAAGAGCTGGGACCATGAATACTTGGGATAAATTATGATCGAGTTTCTTCAAAACTCAATTTTTTCCCCTTACCCGGCTTTGTATAGCTGTTTTGAACTGGAGGACCTCCAACAGAAGAAACATAATGATAGCTTGTTGGTAAATTTGTATTCCCCGATGAGGACAACAATGGCTGAGTTGCTGCTGTGGGAGCAAAATGATTCCCTTGAGAAACCATTTTTGGTGGATTCAAAGGCGTCTGCCCATATTGCCAGTTTGTATGTGTTTGTGGATTAACTCCAGAACGAAAGCCACCAGCCGAAGTTGATGTAGCAGCCGAGTTCTGCAATGGAGGCGGCATCCGGGCAACAGGTCCTGGTTGTGCAGCTGCTGGAGAAGATCCAACAGGCGTTCTATTAAGAGTCTGCCCAGGTCCCTGATAATTATTAAAAGGTGGAATATTCTGAGATGCACTATAGTTATACACTCCAGAAGCTGAATATAGAGGATTCTTTGTTGCCATCTGCTGAGTATGCATGCCTGGGACCAAGCACTGTCCATCTGCTAAGGGTGACGAATTCAGCAGTGGGCTTTGCACAGGACCTGGAAGATTTTAAAAAATGTTTAGTAAACAAATATTAATTACTTACATTTAGGAAACCTAAGTCATAATCTTTCAGTAATAGAAATTAACAAAATTTATGTGAAAAACTAAGTTAGACGGGATCAATAAGTCACTGAAACAAGAAATAAAATGTATGAAAGTTGCCCACAGCATTGTTTACTATTTGGAAGAACTATATAATGAAAAGAGAAGATTTTTAATAATTTTCAGTCCCTGATGTAGTAAAAATAGTAAGTTAGGCATCTTTCAGTCTCGAAAGACTATGGTAACATGCTCTGTATGGAGGACTGGGAACAGCGTCTAGTGTGGCTGAGGAGGCCGATTCGAGAGTGAGTAAAAATAGTATGCAATAGCTAAATAAATGTGGATGCATCCAACACTACCACAAGCAAATTCCCAATCTTTCTACAGTGGCTACTGCAGAAAACCAGAATTACAAAGGTGGACTCAGAAGGGAGATAGCAGAGACTGGATAGAATGGAAATCAAGGCTTCTTTGCACATTGTATGTATTTAATAACCCAACTTTCTGTGAAATTTTATGGACGCAAAACAGTTGCCTCCCTTAATTTGAAATGTGTTATAACTTAAATCTCTCACTATGGAATAAGAACTATAATCACCAATCTGCTATGAGACAATGTATAATATTTATATAAATTTAAATGTTTTCTGAAGTATTACTGAATAGATGCCTATTAGAGGTTGAGTCAATAATCAAATATTTCTAATTTAAATTTTGCTTTACATCAGTTTGATTTAAATCAAATCCATCCTGCCGCAGAAGCCTGTGCTGCAGGGTCAGAAGACCAAGCAGTCGAAAGATTGAATCCACATGACAGAGTGAGCGCCCGTTGCTTGTCCCAGCTCCCGCCAACCTAGCAGTTCGAAAGCATGCAAATGCGAGTAGATTAATAGGGACCACTTCGGTGGGAAGGTAACAGCGTTCCGTGTCTAAGTCGCACTGGCCATGTGACCACGGAAGATTGTCTTCGGACAAACGCTGGCTCTATGGCCTGGAAACGGGGATGAGCACCGCCCCCTAGAGTCGAACACGACTGGACAAAAATTGTCAAGGGGAACCTTTACCTTTACCTTACCCATCCTGCCCTGATTCTTGGTACAGTATATCATGAATGTGGTCAAGGCACTCTCTAGGTTTTTTGCATATTATTTTACTTAAACCACTATATAAACTGTTTCAATGGTCAGGCCTGCACTACTGGACCATCTTGCATTGTGTAGCCACCTAAGGGAGGCAGCAGTGGTATATAATATGCATTTTTTTCTGAAGAATTGATATTAAAAATGTTGTCAAAAATGTTCCAAAACCCTAATAGAATGTGATTTGATTTAACATGCTCATTTGACTTATACAGGTATTTACTAAATAAAACTTTCTCTATGTCCCAACAATCCATACTATTTAAACAGAAATATTAGACACAACAGTTATAAAGTCAGATTATATTGGACCAGGGTTCAAGTCGTCACTCAGCCAGTCACTCACTAGGATCCATAGCTACCTTTTTTATTTTTTTATTTCATTTGTCTTGAATATATCGACAGACACACAATATGTAAACTTCAAAGAACAAATGTGATGCCGTCCTTAGGGACTCTCACAGAGTTCTTCTGAGAATAAAACACAACTAATTTGGATTTTAACAAGTTTTGCATAAGAATGGAAGGATGATTTTGTTGAGTTAGACAATTTTAAATTGCTGAGCTCATCTAATGTTATATATCTATCCATGTACAGTTACCAATGAATTTTATGAAAATATTTTAATAGGAATGTTTCCACAGAAAAATTATGCACTTGACTTTTTCCTGCAGAATTTTTCTTCTTCACTTCACTGGTGATACACTTAACTCTGAGAGGACAACCAGCAATAATCCATTTATCACAGGAGCAAAAGACTGTAGCTTAGCCTGAAGAGTCTTAACTTTGTCATGCCCACGTCCCATATCTAAAAGAACTCTCCAATACCCGGGAAGGATCTCACTAGATTGACAAATCACTGCCCATCAGACACTACTACTACTACTACTACTACTACTACTACTACTACTACTACTACTACTACTACTACTACTACTCCCTTGTTTGGACCTGGTTCAGTCACAACTAGAAACCATGGCTTCTGCCATGCAAATGAAACATGATAGATGTCAGGTTCTCTATCTCCTTTCCTCTTCTTTTGCCTCAGGGGTCATACATTTTCCCTTCCTGTTTTGAACCACAATTCTCTGTTATGTATAGACTCAGAACAGGAACTTGTTTAAACTACAGTCATGAGAATAAGACAAGAACTCAAACTATAGTTTAAAATTTAACACAGTATCTGGTTACTTTCACTAGTGTGAAAAAGAAGAGTGGAAAGACCAGAGTATGCAATATTTCTCAATCTCATAAGAGCCCCACTGATTTCCATTATGTGTGGGACTGTTTAAATTTCCTATTTACATGTGCTCTGTCTAATGTGTCTTCTTTATTTTATGAATATTTACACAAAGTTAAACTCATGAACAACTGTGCATTTTAATCGCAATGTTTTCTTATTCCAACCAACAGCCTACTGTCTTCACATGGTTCTCTTTAAACTGAAAACGTTCATAATTAGGGCTCTATTTATATTATAAAACCTATAGAAGAGGCTGGTAAAACATGAGGCAGGTGCATAATCCAGTCACATGTGTTCAATTATTACTAAGAATCCCTGAGAAAAAAGATGTAAACTCTAATTTTATTTTTTAAATCCTCTTTAAAATGCCATTGTAACATTTAAGTAGAAGAAACATACTTTCTAACAAAGTGTCAAGCTCCTCCTAGTGTTACAGGTCATGGTGATTATAATGCCACATATACAAACTAAGCTGTAAATTGCAACTAAGGCAGATACCTCAGATTTTAGACCAATTAAATTAAGACAGATTAATATTGTACATCTGTATCTAAATCTTCCTCACCCATTCCAAAGTGGAGGAGCTTTAATGCACACGAATTTAAGATACTAACATATCTGAACATTAAAAAAGCAAAGATATCCTAAAAAAAAATCAAAGTGATATTTGGTACCATGGCTTATTTACTACATTTATACTGTATCCTGTTGCCTTCCATGAAGTAACACTGGTGGTGAAAACAGGATCCCAAGACTATAATCTGTCCCAGAATCTACTAAAGCCAGCAGAGAAGCTACAGTACTGTACTTCACATGCTTTCAACACCAGACCCTATAAACAGAATCCATGGCACTGTGCTGCTACCATGTTTCCCCGAAAACAAGACAGGGTCTTATATTAATTTTTGTTCCAAAAACCACATTAGGGCTTATTTTCAGGGGATTTTTTTTTCATATACAACAATCTACATTTATTTAAATACAGTCATGTCATCTTCTGGTTGCGGCACAATGGTGGAGGGCGGGGTTTAACTTAACTGGGGCTTATTTTGAGGGTAGGGCTTATATTATGAGCATCTTGAAAAATCATAGGTAAAGGTAAAGGTTCCCCTTCACATTTAGTCCAGTTGTGTCCAACTCTAGGGCGGAGTGCTCATCCCCATTTCCAAGCCATAGAGCCAGCGTTTGTCAAAGACAGTTTCCGTGGTCACGTGGCCAGCGCAACTAGACATTAAATACCGTTACCTTCCCACCTATTTAACTATTCACATTTTTACATGCTTTCGAACTGCTAGGTTGGCAGGAGCAGGGACAAGCAACAGGAGCTCACTCCATCGTGTGGATTCGATCTTACGACTGCTGGTCTTCTGACCTTGCCGCACAGAGGCATCTGCAGTTTAACCCGCAGCACCACCACATCCATTGAAAAACATGCTAGGGTTTATTTTCAGGTTATATCTTATTTTTGGGGAAACAGGGTATATATATGCCATGTTAGGACAACTCTCCACAGCTTCATAAACCATATAATACAATACATGTACATTCCTTAATCAGATATTGGCCTAGTGCATTAAGGCACTCTTCACAACTACAAGTAACATGAAACATTCTAGCACAATTACAATTAACAAACAAGGAGAACCAATATTAAGCAAGAGGTCTGAGGCTTTTTTGCCTGGATTTCATAGGAGGAAGGGAGGGTTGGAAAAAGAATATGCATTCATTGGCTTCATAAACAAAAAACTATATGAACCTTAAGTGATCATCCTAATGTAGACACTAAAGAAGTGTAAAGAAGTGTGACCATGTCCATTAGTCCTGTAGTGGGGATGGGTGAAAACAAGGAGGAAACTTATTTGCTCTTCACTGTGTCTTTATGGCAGTATTCCTAAAACTGGAATTCATTCTGTAGATGTATGAAAAACGTTCTTTGTCAGCCACGTTCAAACATATAAATGCATAATGGGACAGATTAAATTATGTGTTTTATTTCGCTTCACCCAGAAACATCTGTAGGTGTACATGTAGGCGAAGACGCTTTGTTCATAGTGTTCTCCACCCAGTCTCAAGCAACAGCTTTGGCTCCACAATGAAGAATTAACCACCCAGTCAGATAAAAATGATCCCAAGTTACATCTAAACTCTCATACAAGTAGTACTTCCTCATAATGTTACTTTGTAACTACTTTAGAAAAGGAATGCTGTGTTCATACTACACTGTGAACACTGGCACTTTCATTTGAATAACTATATTTAACTATATTTAACTACCCGAGGGAGACTACAGCTGCGTTACAAGGACATCTGCAAGCGGGATCTGAAGGCCTTAGGAATGGACCTCAACAGATGGGAAACCTTGATGTCTGAGCGTTCAGCCTGGAGGCAAGCAGAGCATCATGGCCTCTCCCAATTTGAAGAGACACTTGTACAGCATTAACCACCCAGTCAGATAAAAATGATCCCAAGTTACATCTAAACTCTCATACAAGTAGTACTTCCTCATAATGTTACTTTGTAACTACTTTAGAAAAGGAATGCTGTGTTCATACTACACTGTGAACACTGGCACTTTCATTTGAATAACTAACTATATTTAACTACTGTATATCTATATCCAATCTTTGTTCCAATGAACTTGTGGCAATGTATATGATTTTTCTTTCCATTTAATTTTCACAACAACCCTGCAAGACTGATCAGGATGCAACAGTGACTGACTGGCTCTAGGTCACCCAGTGATTTTCATGGCTCAGGGGTACAAAAACCAGGAACTCTCAAGTCCAACATTGTAATCACTACAATACATCTGTGCAAATAATTAATTCAACTACTGCAGAAAACATTTTATCCTGTTTTATTGCCCGCCTTAAACTTATTTTATCTTGTATGACCTTTTATATATTTGTTAAACAAGGCAAAGGCAAAGGAAAAGAAAGAGCAAGGAGATGCTTCATCCTTTTCCAAATATACTCTGTGCAGACGTTTGTGCACACATACACCATTTCTTTCATCCCACAATCCTCCATTGGGTTCTAGATCAATCTATGAGTATGGGTTTTGGTTTCTTTTTTTACTTTGGGAAAATGGCAGTTCTCTGACAGCAACAGAGCCAATTAACATTCTTTGGTGAACTGCTTTCCTATCAAGTTACAGATGAATACTGCCACCACAGGACACAGAAATTAAGCTATCCGGTTCAGAAATGAACCTGATACATTTGTGATGCAGGGTGCACACATGCACATAAAACCAAACTTATATGTACTCCTGTTGTTAACTGCTACATCCCTTAGTAAAATCCACAGAAGTGAATGGGTACTCTTTGATTGAGTAAAACTACATTTGCATGTTAACTTTCCAACACCACCTAGTAAGCTAGAGTCCAAAGCTCAGCTGAGGGAGAGCTGCACCTTCCACCCCAGCTCATCTCTCAGGCAATGCAATCTCTGGACGAATGAGGGAGCTTCCCCTATGCTCTCTCAACCACAGCCTTGTCACTAGACCACCCCTGCTTGTTTGAAGCCACAACATCGTACTAGCTATCCTGGATTCCTTTAGTGGAGAAGCTGCCTCCAAAGGATAGGCGATCAGCGAGATGTGCGAAAGGGTCACTCAGTATCATTTCCTCTTGTTCTTATCTAAAGTTTTAGGCGCAGTTTTGGTCCAAGAGCGCCACGCTTCCCTTTTAATCCAGGACCAAGAGCCCCACCTGCCCACAAACCTCCAGAGGGGTGAAAAGTCCCACCACGCCGATCCCTCCTGTCACGTCACGGGAGACGCTTCCCTAGGGATTACTCAGCGGCGCTATCACACCAGCGCTGAAAGGGACTTCCACTCGGCCGTCCTTTCGGGAAAGGAGAGGAACCGCCGTCTGGAAAGGCTGTGGCCTCAGTCGGGGCCGAAGGAGGAAAAACCAACCCTTGCGGGCCCACAGGTCCCTCACCGGGACCAGCTCAGCTCCTAGTCCGGCTAACAGGCCCAAGCAACGAGTTCGCGCCCGCCCTCTTCCTCCCACGACGACACTGACGGACACCTCTCACCACCCCCCACGCCCAGCGAAGCCACGAAGGCAGGCAGCGACCAGGTCCTTCCCTCACACAAACACCCTCCCGGTCCCGGTCCCTGGCCTTTTCCGAGGGGGGGGGGCGCGACAAGGCCTCACCCACCGTTGCTGTACGGATGGTGCTGCGGCAGTGGCTGCCCAGCTCCGTTCTGGCTGCTGTACGGGGGTCTCCCCGGCTGGGCCATGACGGCGGCGGCGGCACCTGGTTCGATGTGCGGGGCGCCT